AAAAAAAGAATAAAAGCTGTGAACTATTCATGAATTGTCGATAAATAGAAAGCTTATAAAAACGCTTATTTATGCACAAACTAATTTATGGTGTCTGAAGTTTGAATTAAATAATGCAATTAAACAGTTCACTAAGAAAAAGCTTTTGTTTATCACTCAGTAAAATTAATCAAAATGTTTGGAGCAATTCAAAAAGGACAAAGCTGCTTTGTAATTTTGATGTGAAAGAATGAGCTAAATAAATATGAAAAAACATGATGTTATTAAACTGAAGCATCAACAAATTAAGGCAAACAATAAAAATAGCCTGAAAAAATAGCCTTTTTGGTCGGTATTATCCGAATCTGTCGTTAAGGATTTTCAACTGAAGTTTCATTTTTCAGCAGCGATCATTTGTTTGACAAGTGTCGCCTCCACAATTGTGGGTGGGTTGATAGTTTCTCTCTTAAGTATCCTACTTAACTGTTGGCTAGTACCTCCTCTTCTGATCAATTCGTATAATTTCTAGCAGTGATGATAGTATCATCAAGTGATCACAAGTATCTAAACATGTGTGCAATTTGTATCTTACTAGGAAAAACTTGAGGTATTGCTAGAATACAGAAGGGATTTATTTTTTAAAAAAGTTTCAAGTTTTAATCATCAAACAAATCATATTGAGAGAGAAGTAAATACACATTGTGACTTTCATCTTAAGTTTGTGTAAACAAAGGACAAAGTCAAACTCTCTGGATGATGATAGTGAAATGCTCAAAATGTGATAAATAATATAACTTTTCATAGTTCTATGGTTTTTCATAAAATTATGACAGTTTGAAAAAGTTTTTTCAGTCTATCGTTAAAAGAAAAGAGATTTATTATGTTGAACACTAACAAATGTATAAATGGAATATGTAAAAGATGACAGAATCGGCATTGGGACCGTATTAATGAACGAAACTAAATTAGGCTATTGTTGCGCGACTCCATCAAATACGCTGAATAAATTATGAGTTGCAGTTGGAACTTTCTGCGAATTCATTCCTGGAAAAAACCGGAATTTCCGGATGCCGTCCTATTCAAAAACTACTCATTGAACTGGGAGGTCTAATTTTAAATTACTGTTACAGCTTACACTTATCGGTAATGGTTAAAAGGAAGCTATATGTCAAAATTTCGTTGCTCAGTAACAAGAATATTGCTTTTAAACGGGAGAGCAAGCAGAATAGTCTGGAACGAAGTAGAAAAACCCGTTTGCGCCGTAAGTTGAATAATGATCTATCTCGGCAAAAAAAAAGCCAATTTCTCGCTTACGTCTCTTATCTTCACATATTTGAATAACAGAAGAAATTCATCCTATTCATGTAACTTCAAAACGGATCCTTCTATTAATCTCTTCCACATTATCTGGATTTGGATCAGGACAGAGCTGTAGAAAAGCTCATACGTTGCACTCTAGATAAAACGTGTTCCATATTTATTTGATCAAGTCTTCATAATTCTGTATGCAGTTCATCCATCATTGCTTCTATGACAAGCATTGAAATCTTTTAACATTTAGCTTTTCAGTGACGAAATATTTATCATGGAATATTTCCTACATTTTACAACATCGTTTAATTAATACAGAACGTTCAAATCTTACTTTGTTACCTATCTTCTTACCCATATTTACGTTAAACTTCATGATCTCCTGAGAAGCATTCTCAACATTTAATTTCAACCATAATTTTAATTAATCAGCATTCACTGAAGTGAAAAAGCTTGAAACTATTACCTTGTAACAAGACAATACACAATATTTCTGAAAAGTATGAAATTTGTTATGATTGAAATTTGCTATAATTTGCTATGATTGATGAAGTCTATATGTAGAAAACTTTAAAAATGGTCCGGAATAGAGATTTTTAAGCATAATGAATGAAAATATTTGTTTATGCTTCCTTCACCTGAACAAACAACAATATTTTCTCTTTTTTCTCATTTTTTATCAAAATTTATTAAAATTTGAAAAGGAAAACTTTCCGCTTCAGTATGAAAATTGAATTTAACACTTTCTGCATTCTTCAAAAATGAAAAATATTCGAAAAAAATAAATTGCGCTGAGCAGAAAAATTTAGTTCAAATTATTTGAGAATGAGGAAGAGGTAATAATTATAATAATAGTTGTTGAAATAACAATAATATTTCTGCATGGTCCTTCTGAAGTATTGAAATGTATATTTTGTTGGAACCAACAAGTTCAGTATTTTATTCACTTCCAAAATACTCACTGGCAAAAATGCCGATAAATAATGGAAAAGAGACTGAGGAGACGAGAAAAAACCTGCCCGCAATGGGGGAAATGGTAGTATTATCATCGCATGCAATACAAACGATTATTTCCGCATCCAGCTGATTCATTGGAGTGTATTTGATCGATCATCCATTATTGATTGATTGATTCTCGGAATCATAACACAACGAAGATTGCGCAAAATGAAATATTACAACAAAAGAAGTTGTAAGAATTATTCAGTTGCATACTGAGAAACATAAACTGATGCACTGCTGAGGAACGAACGATGAAGTGAGGAACAGGAAGTATACTATGCTATAGAGAGTAGAAACGACAAATTTGTGAGGGCGAAAAACTTTGTCACAGACATCAAAGACTTATTTATTCAAGTGAAACTTATTAAAATATGAGCTACCTGTAGGTAGTTCTATTAATTGCGATCAACTTTCACTTAAATTTTGTTAAAATCAAAATCCTATTTGAACAAACTTCCAGTGAAATTTGAATTTCATTTCGAGGATATTATAAAATAATACACAATTAATGGTTTTTCTTCTTTTCTGACTGCATGTTAGACAGATGTTCTCTTCCATTCTTCCTCACTTATCTTTCTATTTAAGTCATTTGATTTTATTTCTAGTACTTGTTTAAAAATGCGTGAAACAATGGAAATATTTAATTTACAAATAAGGCAGGAATTTTTGTTTTCTTTCCTTTCTTCATCCTCTTCATGCACTTTTGCTAACTCGTAAACAGGAAAAATTTGTCGCAAAACGAACTCAAACAGCGAAACCTTCTTACTTTTCTTCTTTTTGTTTCCTTGGCTAAATTCTTTGAGTGATTATTTCCTATTTATTTTAATTGACATTTAAGGGTTTAAATCAAACAACGAAAAAATCCTATTTTTTCCCCTAAAAAATGATCCGATTAACCTTTGCGCTTATTTATTGTAATAAAGCTTATTTGGTTAATTAATGCTAGCACTATTAGATGAAAATGTAATGCAAAAACATTTAATATTGCATTATGGAGATCATTTCTAACTTCTTCAACAAAAATTCTATACCTTCAGGTGACAAGTGTGCGAAAATACCACTAAACTCCCGAAAAAAAGCTCTTGATGTCATCCACCAATCAATTAAACGCCTTGGCTTGGGTGGTTGAGCCAGATGCATCAGGTAATAGATATATGTTGGAAAATAAATAATTGATTGGCTTATTCTTCCTCGATCGCAAGAGATCGCTTCCAGAGATGAAAAAAACCCCTATATGTTAAAAGGGTTTCTCAAAGCTGCAAGCCTGGAAATGCTTTAAAATAATTAAATGCGATTTGGCTTTTACTAATAACAAGTGATTTGTGTTGGGTGCTGAATTCCCCCGAGTACCACACGAGAGAAATCTTCGAGCACTCACCAATCAGTGCTTGATTTGAAGTTATTGATTGTTGAGTTTTGCAGCTGGCCAGGGAACTCTCTTATTATTACATTCAGCACGATTTACCGTAAAACTGCAAGTTAAATTTTGTTAACCTTTTTTCCCGAAAATCTGAAAAATTTCCAGTAATTATCGACGAAATTGTAGCAAAATACGTGTATAAGTAAATACTTTATATTCTTACTTTGAGAAATCTCGAAACAACTAGCATTGTTGAAGTTGCCATGGCTAAAAATCATGGCCATTATAAGTAACTTACTATTCATGCCTGATTAAATGCTTTCTAATTTGCTATAGATTTCCCAGATTAAGCTAAGTTAGAAATATTCTAATTTAATTGTGCTTAATTATGCAATGCCAATGATTTATTGGCCGTAACCAAATTTCCATAACTATGGCTTGCGTGTGAGCCAATGAGTTGTGTTAATAACCTTTGTAAGTGGTTTACTGTTGTAGCAATTTACGCCAGTGACGGTTGTTCTTGACTTGAGATATACTTCGAGAGTAAGCTTAGAATAGATAAATACATAAGAATTTGGCAGAAGGGATAAGAGAACTTCCTAAATCGATGTGTTGTTGGCCGATTGAGGACAGAAAGGGACAGAGAATATGGACGAGGGCAGGGGTAAGAAAGAGTTGGTGGTCATGGGAGAGGGGAGATTGGTCCATGGGATCCAAGGGCAAAAGAAATCTTTCCTTCTTCCTCGCTATTCCTTTGGGACCCAGATGAAGTACCATGATAAGACTACTTATCTTTTTCTCTCTTTCTCCCTCTCTCTCCTCAACCAAATTCAATTCTCAAGAAAAATCTAACCTTTATCAGATCAGGGAGGACCAACTGGACAGCAGGGCGGTAGTGACATCCCATCAATAAATCCACCTTGCTTCCTCATCAGTATGTCAGATACCAATTGCCCAACAGGCGGAGTGAGTGGAGAGGGGACATTCATTCACTTTGGTTTCCTTCATTCATAACGCCTTTTCCTCGCTTACTTCGGAAGACTGCTTGCTCTCTCGATCCTCATTCGATCCACATTGATCACTGGAAGAATAGCTATTCTCTTCAAGCGCCTAATACTTTTTGGCGGAGAACAATTGGTTCATAAAACCAATTAGGACTGGGATAGAGTAGCTATCCTTCCCTTTCAGGGATCAATATGGATCGAGAGAGATACCAGGAGATTACTTGGCCAATAGTTGTAGAGAAAAGAGCCTGGTTAATACGTGCTACTGTTCATAACACTTATATATTGACACTATTTCTCAATTCAATAGATGATTATATGTCCAGTATGTAATCATAGTGCCATTCAAGGTAAAAACTGATCATTGTCAATTAGATCAAGTGAGGAGAAGGAATAAGCATAATTCATAATCACAAGTTAAGTTTAACCAGTGAATAGCAAACCTAATTTCAGAGCAATATAATTGTGAGGACAAACTGAGTTAATCAGTGATTGAACCATATCTTAACATGGCACCCATTGCTATTCTAACTGTTCTTTTACTGATGTTTATCATTGTCATTTCATCCATGCTTATTATCGTTATGTGTTAATAGCATATAACATAAAGTAAATACTAAAAAAAACCCAATTATTTCTGTCTTTCTTGTATATACACAATTGAATCTTACTCTCAGTCTTTGTAATTATTTTGTCACTTTAATCAGTCACCAATGTCATGCCTACCATAATTATTAACAATCATTCTGAATCATTTATCATACTTTCTGATGATTCATGTCACCAAAGTTCACTTTCACCTTTAGAACAAAATTTCACCAATTATTTTCATATTTGTATTTGGTAGGGATGGAATTAAATTTTGAAAATTTCATGAGAATCCACTTCTCAAATGCAATTTTCAAATATTATTTTGCGAAAGTATATGTATGTATATCTTTGGCTTAACTTTGATCATTCGTTTTTGGACACTTCTAATTAATAATCAATTAAATCATTGTCAGAATACAAAAACTGTAGTTTTGATTAGCTTCAATCCAATAAAGAATCCTAAAACGATTATTAGTGATGTGCAATGATAGGTTTTTTTTTTCCTTTAGCTGTCCACAAACAAAAATAAAGACTGAATAAACGAAGGGAGTGGAGAGAAAATGTAATAGTTGTGCTATTACTATCTCATCTATTAAAAAACTCCTGTTCATTTCATCCCAAAATTATTGTTAAACTAACACTTTCAAGTTATTTCTTTTTCTATATTTGAAGAAGCAGACAGTTCCGAAATTATCCAAACAGAATCACTTCTTCAATAATAATAGAAGTTGTTATTGCTTATAAATATCCCTTATCTTACAGATTTGCACCATTTTTGCTAACCTTATTTTTAAATGCACTGTACTGAAATCGAATTCAAAACGGAAATTAGACAATGCTTATAACTATTTGGCTGCTTTGCTTTTTAGCCATAAATTCTTCTCAATTACTTCTTGAGTAGTATGAATGTTATAACTGCATAAAAATCAATGTATTTTGCATAATTCATGCAAAATATGCATGTAAAAAGGCGTTTAAAAAGTGTTAGTGTGAAAATTGCGAATGGAAATGTTTGATAATTGGTGCTAAAGAAAAATTTCCATCATATTAACATCTTTGACCATCAAAAAATGAGTTGGTTAGGGATGCAAAATAAAGTTAAAGCCTGGATGGGAATATAACTAGTAGAGATAATTGTGTGCTACCTTAAGTTTTTTGAAAAACTTGAATGCAATGTTTTTAGCATAAAAAGTATTACTACAGGTACATTCTGTTATCTTCACCCATAAAATTAAGTTACTTTCGAGATATAATGCGTTGCGATTGAATTGATATCAGTTATATTTTTTGAAACTTTTGTTTCGAGTTTTCAAGGTCATCAATTGTTTCATAATAATTTAGACTTTTTCAATCTGTAATTTATGTTCCATAATAATTTGTCATTGTTTATTATTATTATTATTATTATTATTATTATTATTATTATTATTATTATTATTATTATTATTATTGTTTATTATTATATTGTATTATTATTACTAATTCTTGACTACTTCTTACCAATTCATGACGTATACCATTTGTTACTTTCTTTATACCGCTATAAGTTAACGAAGCAGAAACTACGTGGAAATAACGTGTGACTGCTCTACTAATGAATGATAATGCAAATTATGCTATCAGAGCAAGTTATGGCTGTTGTAATTTTGTTTTCCCAATTTAAAATATACAATTTGAGTCGGTCTTGAAAGTTATAATTATGGCAACTGGGAAATTAATTATGATTTTCATTATAATTGCAAATGTAACAACTCGTCATCATGCTTTTTACTGCCATCATGATTCCATTTTTGTTTTAAAAATAACCAGAATATATGATTTCATCAATTATAGAATCCTCCAATGAGTGCAGTAGCATCATCGTCTACAGCAGTGGTTAGCAGCAGTTCGAATAGTTCCGTCATTTGCAATAAACCATCGAAAAGACGAAATGGTATGTTTATTTCGAATTCTTTTTCTTAGAATTGTCTCTGTTTCTATTATTTAATTTTTAAGCAATTCGATCTTAAGCATACAGAAATTTAAGTCTCTTCTCACATTGCAAGAGTTTTGCGATGGCTAATTTTCTCCAAATTACTATTACACAATTATTACATTTCTTTTGAAAGTTATATGCGAAGATTGTTTTAATCTTTCCAATCAATTGCCATAATTTTTCACATTACAAAAAAAGTAATTTGAAAGCAATGGCTAATGAGGAAATTCTCAAGACATCAACGAACGGATCATCATCTCTAGAACATAACAATTATAATTCATCAATTATTAATATTCAGAAAAACTTTTTTTTTTGTATGTTTAAAAATTTGTTGAAAACTTTTTGACTGTCAATTTTTTTTTTATCATTCTTTTTATTGCTTGATATTTTTGATCTGTAATACATCGTTGGATGGTCTGTTTTGGTATGTTGGTACATATGGTATATTTTGACTTTTAGGAACATTTCGTGTTTTGGCGGAAGACTGCTCACAATTTGCACTGGGTGATGAATTTGATAGCGATTTCCATCAGGTACTGACGGATTGCGAACGGTATACGTTGGAACTGGATCCGGTGCTAGATGAACCGTTAATTAATCGCTCTAATACTGGTGACTGTTTGCACGAGAAACTAAATAAGAATGCATTAAGGGGATCATATGCGATACATCATGAAAGGGAAATTTCTAGGTAGTATTCATTTTGCAAATATCTATCAAATGCCGAATAGACGTGATGTTTAAAGATAGCATTATTGATTTTTTTTAAAGTAGGAATAACTGTAACAATGTCTTCCCAATAGCTCTACAAGTGTATGATGGCTTCCCCGATGTACCAAAGAATTTATTCGAAACGGTTATTATTTTACAAAAAAAGGTGATGAAAGGAGGGTGTTGAAACAATATAGTTTTCCAATGGTGTGACAAAATATGGCGCAATTTCTACCGTGTTTCTCCGAAAATAAATCACTCCCTGGTCAGAGTGCGACAACTTCAGTGAGCAGGTGGACAAGAGAGAAATGCTGTCATTTTCCGCGGATATAAGACGTCTCCTAAAAATAACCCTAGCACTTTTTCTCTTTTTTTTTGAACGAGGGGAAATAATATAAGATTAGACCCTGTTTTATTTTCGGAGAGACATGATATTACTTTGAATTCTATTTGAACTATCATTGCATTTCAGGCTAACAGATGAAGTAGAAATCGATGGTGATTCAGCATCGGATGAGTTGGATTTATTGCCACCTTTACCGCCTTGTTCAACCTCAGGGCGAAAGTTTCCAAAATGGAAAATAAAATTGCCAAATTGGTTACTTTGTCGTAATCCTCGGGTTCCAATGAAATGCATTATTATGTAATTTATTCGAGTTTTATGTAACAGCAAATATGTTTTATATTACAATAAATTTCATCTTTTTGCAGCACTGATAAAATTTTTAGAATTTCTAAAATTCAAAAATTGTTTAATCAAAATAAAGCAAATGGCATGAGAAAATCGATGTGTATGATTTCTCATGAAATCTTCGAAAAAAAATTAATTCACATAAATTAGTTGTAAAAAGACAAGATAAAAATGGTCATGAAGAAAGTTAGATGTATTTGGGGTACATCATTTTAGATAAGGCTCATTAGGGAAGTGAAAAGGAGGAAGGTCCAATCACGATACAAATCATGCATTTCTGGATTACACTGAGATTGTGATATTTAATAAATTTCTGGAACTTATGGCATTATTATGAAGACAATAAAAGCTGTATGAATGGAAAGACGACAAAGTTCAAATGTGTGTTTAAATCCAAAAAGTGATTTGAAACTTTCAGCATTTCGAATAAATCGAATTTCAGTAATAGAATTTATTGATCGTTGAAATTAAAAAACAGTGGAAGTATGGATTTTTTTTACTAACTAATTAATACAGTAAATCTAGAAAATAATTAATTTCATTTTCTTCCCTTCATCCCGTTGATCATTGATCTACATTGATCTATTGATCTACACGTTCTAATTCACTCGCCTTAAAATTTTTCAAACAGTTTGTTTTGCATATTTTCATCAAAAAATTTATTGTCTTTAAGGCATTTGAAATTATTTTTTAAGCCAAAATATTATAATTTGAAAACTTTAAAAGGAAATAAATCAGTTTAATCAAAAGTAAATTTAATTTAATCAGCGCTTAGATTCATTTTAACATCTTTGGTATATGTCTCAGTAAGTCTTCGATTTCTATAAATTGCGGGAAAAACGGAAATAGTTTCTGCGACATTTTGATGACAAATATATTTTTCGTTAATATTAACGCTATTCAGCGTATTCATATGTTAAAAAAATTTAATTAAATATTATCGTGATCAAATCTATCTGACCTTAAAATTTAGATGAAAACTAATCCAAATTGGGAATTAAAATAGTCATATGACAAGTAGAAAATTAGAAAAGTCTCATGAGATTCGAATTACTTTTCGTTGATTCCACACTCCACTATAAATCATGATTATTCGGGAATATCTCTGGTACCTCTCAGTTGCTAATTCAATTTTTGCTATCGATTTTTTCCACCATTTTCCTCATATAATCTATTGATATAGGAATGAGAAAAGTTATTACAACTATTACAATTTTTTATGGCTTCTCGATTTCTATTGATCCATTTTTTAACTCTGTCATCTTTAAATGCATAAAATTCTCCCTTTAAGAAAAAAATGTTTTTAAAATTTGAACATTTATAAAGCGTAGAATTCCACTCTTTAAAATTTTAGCAAATTTTTTTTCTTCTCCCTTTTCTTCATTTTGGTCTGAAGAGAAGAGAAGCAATCTTTCTCGTCTTCCTGATTTGCTGAGAACATCCGACGACAAATTCAATTTATATAGCTGTTTTCATCATTCAGAATGTTCTTTAGACGTGTTAAAATGAGGAAAAGAATATGCATTCGGGATTTTTTCGACAACGTTTCCTCGTCGAAGAAATCAAATTATAACTGAACGATTTCAATCATGTAAATGTCCAACCGAATTTTGATGAAATTTTTTTTTTTTTACATATATGAATGTCTATTACTCTATTTGTTGAATTACTCATCCATATCTCATTATAATTGTGTGCTTGCCTAAGCCATTTGAACTTTCATGCAACTTTTGTTGAGATCATTACATCTCTTCATTGAGGAGCAGTCGATTAGCACTTACTGTCTTATTTATTAGAAATAATCAAACCTTACCACGACTTTTGGGAATTACACATACACACACACACACATACACACAAACATATATATATATATATATATAAACATGTCATAAAGTTGAAACCATTCAAATTTCATTTCATTTTAACTACAATCTCCATTAACTATCCATTCTCTCATTATTCGCACTTGTCTAGTTTCAAAAATTCAAACCAACCAAAGTTGTTTATTCATATTCCAGTTTGATAAATCTCAGTATTATTGAAAATTTTATTCTAACTCATCGAAATCTTCAAAATCATGCCTTAAATATTATAATGAATGGACTAATTTTCTTCGTCTTCTTCCCTGGTAACCATTTTAATCAATAAAGCATTTTCATTTAAAAAACGATGCGTAAATGCATAAATTAGTTAATTACAAAGACGAACTTATTTTTACTCATTTCAAATTTGATCTACAATGACTTTAAATTGCTTCTACCAAAGATAAATGTGGAAAATATTACAAAATCAAATTTGAAAAAAGCTAAAAAGTTTATATGAATGGAGTTTATTTTTTAAAAAAGGAAAAGAAAAATTCATGGAAAAATATTTCGATAATTCTCGGATTTATTTTTTAATTTTTTTGGATTTTTTGTTGTTTGACAATTGAATCAAAGAAAGAGAATGAGTTCAAACAATAAAAATGAGACACTTTTTGAAGGTTGCCATATCGGCAATCAACATACGCAAACGATTAGCTGCATATCAGCTGATAGAAATTTAAAGGCTTTCATAGGTCTGCTTAAAAAATCGCATAACGCAAAACGCGTAACCTCTTGTTCTGATTTAATTTATTCATTGATAGAACCATCACTGGTTACCATTTAAATGGTTTGAAGTAATTGTTTGTAGTTAATTGATGCACATTAGTCATCAGTTAATATTAAAATAATTTTGGTACGTCCATAGCTCATAAATTATCTCATTTATACCTAAAAAGGTTAGCAAAGTTGTCAAAGCAACTTCAAATATTTCTTATTGATAAATATAGAAATCAATCAATTCAGTATAAAAGTCCAACTTTTTATTATAGAATTTAGAAATTCCCGGCTATTACTTTCTTTTATTAGATATTTCTTTACCATTGACAAGCTAAACAGAGGATTAAGATAAATGATAAGAGGACCAAAATCGTCAATCTCCCTGGGGATAATTAGCCAATACTCATTGAGCCTGTAATAATATCACGACTAAAGGATGTACCAGAATATCCTGGCTTTTCTGGTGTTTCTGAATAAAGTCTAGATAAATTACTCTTATTCATTTATACCATTTCTTTGTCCTGCGCTTTTTTTTGGAGATGATATTATGCATTGTTACTTTTTTCCACTATTTGCAAACATGAAGATAAATTAAACTTTATTTCCTTCTCAATTTGGTACCTCTCATGAGACCAAAACTTCGCAATTTTCCTATTTGCAGGTTTACCAATTGTGTCCTTTTATAGTTATGTAGTTTATGTGTTGTGAAATATTTGATATTTCTTTTGCGGTATTTTTCTCTTTTTTTTGTTCATATGTTAACAATTGGAAATTAGTGAAAAGAAAAGGTGCAAATAAAAATGGAAGTGAAATTTATCATATCATGATTGATTGTTTCGAATATTGAAGTTGGAAAAATATCAAATGTCAGTATTTTCGAATTCTTTTTCAACTTAAATAATACACCATTTTCGAATATGGAAAAGATTTAAGCAAGCTCTTTTTATCCTTTAGTAAAATTTTTACTTATAATTCTTAGTTCATCCTTTAGGACAAAAAGAGAAACCACTACTTTTTAATTTAGCAGTAAATTAATTAGTTAACCAGCAAAATACATGCGAATGTTTTTATTACGAATTTTTGCAGTGCTGCTTCCCCTCAAGTTAAAATATCTCGAATCACATGAGCTGATCTATTCCACAATGTTTTCTGCAAATGATCATTGCATTCATTTTGCAGACTAATTAATTTAGTTAATTTATTGCTTAATTCTACTCAACTCAACTACCAGACATCATCATTAGTCGTGAAGCAACATTATGAAAGCGGGAATTGCAAAAGATGAAATATGTGCTGTATCTTTCCTGAACAAACTTCCAATCAAATATCGAGGATATAAAAATCGTAACAAAATAAATCTAGTATCATAATGCATTCATAGATGATAAGTCTGAAGGAGTTTTATTGCTGCGAAACGAGACCGGGAGAAATAAATTTGGAGTAGTTGTGTTTAATGGCTAAATCTTGATGGAACTTCGATTACAAAGGCTACAAATGATACCTCAGTGATTCTAATGAATTAAAAATTGTTTAATTTCATTCACATCAATGTACCAGCATTAGTGATCGTATATTGTTTAATTCTGTGCAATTCGGCTATTTGTTTACTTCAAGCCCATTAAAAATTTAATTCAATTCATTTTACCAAATATTATAACTGCTAAGTTTTATCAAGTATTGCGACTTTTTGTTCCATTCATTCATTGCGCAAATGTATGACTTCAGAAAAGAATTTGTACAATTTGATCAACAAAAAAGAAAAAATATATGTATATGTGATGAGCTTTTGACGAATATTGAACTCATTTTTTCCTCAATTTCATTTGCTTTTGAGTGATTTTTTTTTTGTTCCAAAATTTTCTTTTTCTTCTTTTGCTTTTCAACGCGTACTAAATCCAATAAGGCGGTTATAATAAGATATTAATAATAGCAATGGAAACTGGCAAATCTTTTCTTCTACTACTTCATATGAGCATATAATTTAGCATTTGAGGCATTTCCATCTGTCCTACTTAATTCAGCAATTCATTCCATCGATTTACTCACTTATTTACTTCTGCGATTCCTATTAATTTATTAACTTACCTAATAAGTTACTCACTGGATCACGTGACATTGGAAAAATCGAAAATATCTTTCCATGCAAATTGCACTTGTTATCATTGTCATGTTACTATCTAATTACTATTATCATATTTACTACCACCACGACTAGAACAACAACAACAACTACTACTACCAAAGCTATTTCTAAGCAGTTTTAGCTGAAAGTTCTTCCCCTCTTCAATTCATTCATTCTATTTTTCATTTTCATTTTTAACGAAAGAGAAGGAAATGTGAGATATTTGAAATGAGTTAAAGTTCATTTTTTGAATCATTAATTACAACAATGATAATGATAACTTCTATCAGTGCTCATTCATTCATTCAGAATGCTGTGATTAGTTCTAATTTGAGAGTTCAAGGACAGAACAAAAATGACAACAAAAGCGATAATATAAATAGGAATTACTTTTTCAGGAAAAGTGAAAAGAGAAAAACAGGAGAAATAAGGATGATGGATCCTTTCAGATAAACTGAATTTTGTTATAAAATAATGGTACGGAAGAGAGAAGAGGGAATGACAATGATAAGAAAAGTGAAGGAAGATTGAAAAAGTAAGAAAGGGATAATAAGTTCTGCTGAAGCTTCATGAAGATGATGAAACAGGAAGGAAAGAGGGAGGAGGATGAAGATGGTGGGGAGGAGGAGAAAGAGAAGGAAGAAGAGGATGAGGAAAAAAATTTTTACTACTTATTAGGCGACATCCTCAATAACAGCTTAGAGAAGGAGAATGTTTCTTTGCCACCTCCATTAAACATCACTAAATCATATCAAAACTTTAATATTTGTTGAAAATTTTGTCGTAACAGGCAGGATAATTTCAAAAAATAAATTTCATAGTATGAAAATTGGTGCTTTCATCTACTTTTTCGGCAATATTTGTGCCAATTACGAATTGTATTATTTACTTTTGTTATAATTTTAACGAAATTCGAATGAAATTAATTAATAATTTGTACCTGTTAAAACAGCAATATCATTTCAAAAAAGTGCTGATGCTACTATTATTACTGCTACTTTTACTATTGTTATTGCAATTCCACTGATACTCATTTTGCCACCAATAAGGATAAAGATATCAAGTTGAATCACATTGCAACTGATACTTATTACTTCTGTTCTGATATCATTGGTATAGCTGCTTTACAACAACAACAATAACAACAACAATAACAACAACAACAACAACAACAACAATAACTAGTACTACTAGTACTACTACTACTATTACTACTACTATTACTACTATTATTACTACTACTACTACTACTACTACTACTACTGCTACTATTACTACTACTACTACTACTACTACTACTACTACTACTACTACTACTACTACTACTACTACTACTACTACTACTACTACTACTACTACTACTACTACTACTACTACTACTACTA